AAACTTGCAACAATTAGAAGACAGTATTTAAAGCTAATAAAGTAAGTATACAATACTAAAAAGATCAATGAATACGACACCAAAAACATAAGCAACACCAAAACACAGTCAATCAGTAAGGTAGAATAATCCATTTAAAAAACCCACTCAGGGAAAGCTTGCCTGAAGAGAAAAGTCTTGGCACACTTGTGGAAGGACAGCAAAGGCCTAGTCACCAGTGGGAGGGAGTTCCAGAGTCTGGGAGCAACAACAGAGAGGGCCCTCTCCTGTGTCCCCATCAAACAGGTGGAACCAAGAGAAAGGATTCTTCTAACGATCTTGAGAAGGCTCCTAAGGAAGACACGGTCCTTGAGATAGCTTGGGCCCAAAGCCGTTTAGGGCTTTATAGTTAGAACCATCACTTTGAATTCTGCCTCAAAATAGATCAGCAACCAGTGGAACGGCTGTAGTGATCCAGGGGCCTATGTGATCCCTGTGTCCAGCCCTAGTTAGCGAGCTGGCTGCTGCATTTTGGACCTGCTGAAGTTTCCTGACACTTTCCATAGGCAGCTCCATGTAGAGTGTCTTACAGCTATTGAAGCAGGGTAACAAAATGGTGAATTACTAGATTGATGAAATATATGTGACTCAATGAGTGAACAATGGATGAGTGTTTTGGATATAACTGACCATGCCTACTTTTGGGTTCAACTACAAACATTTTTGAATACTCTGACATGTGGTACCCAGCCATTAGCTCAAGGACATGTGTCCCGCAAGGAGAAAATAATTCCCCACAGTTGACCTTAGGTATGTGGAACCAACTGGAGACATTTTGGTAATCTTATCACAACTCTTTTCTGCTTATCCTCCTCAAAGCTTTGAAAGTCTTACCTGAATAGGAAGCCGAAAATTCACATTCACATTTTACTTGAAATTAAATTTAGTGACAATTGTACAATTGCCAGAGCACTTAGGAAAATGAATCTTTCTCCATCTTCCCCCCCCCAGTTCATTTAAGAGAGGAGTTACAGTGGAAAGGTCTAAGATCTCCCCAGTAATTAATTATTCTGAGAACCTCCCTCCCTTAAATTGAAGACTTACACCAGAAAACTGATTTGAGAACACTTTTTCTTCCTTCTTTGACTCAGACAATGAGACTCCATTGGAATTACAGCTATCAATGGGATTTGAATGACAGAGATTAACGTCTGGGTTGATGCTTCCCAGAAAAGTATAGTCATGTTAAGATAAAAATAAGATCTATAGTTAGTGGTACTTTACCTCCACAGTTCGTGCTCTCATCAATGCTTGATGCTGGCAGGATTACTAAACAAAGAGAAAAAATAGTGGGGGGGGGGGGGGAAAATGTCATTTTTGTCATTAGTGACACAGTTAAGGCAATTAAGACCCCTTTGCTTAATGGTGGGAAATTAATCTCAGAAAACAATGAAATGCAGCCAAAAACACACACACTTCCTACTGCACCAAAACACTGACAGGATTACAAATTATCTGAACAGAACACACAGTAAGCCTGCTTAGAAATATGTTTAATTCTGGCAAGAACTGTTCAATTTATAGATAAGGTTACATAAAAAGGAAGAACCTGTGCAATCCGGCTTGTGTTCATAAAATCTGTGGATATTTTTGAATGCCACATGGTCTGCTTCAGAAACTTGTTGACCAACATATGACAGGGTATCAAGCCACTGCTTCCACGCTAAGGGAGGCACGCAGCTTGTATAGCAGGGCTTACTTCAAACATATCTTCCAAAGTTAGAATTGCAGCTCCTTTGGAATGGATTTACTGTATTACCGCCACGAAGTTATAGCAATGGCTCCTAGTTAGATGACTTTTCTTTTTAAGGGCAAAGACAAAGTTTGAAGGAGAAGTCGCATCATCAGTTATTATCAATGATAGGTGAACAGAACATTAGCAATAGGATGTTGGATCTGATGTGGTGCTGCGAGGTTCATCATATGTTTTTAATGCTGAATTTCTGTTAGTGCTGCAGAATGCCAAGTCCCTGATTATATTAAATGTATGAGCCACAGATTTCTTCTCATCCCCATTGTTTAGAGAGGTTAGTCATACTAATTCTACAGAAGAAACACACACACACAAACACACACACACACACACACACAGAGAGAGAGAGAGAGAGAGAGAGAGAGAGAGAGGCTAATTCGCAGATAACTAAGCAAAGCTTTTTTTACAAATGACCAACATTAACCCAATTTCTTCCCACATCTGCCATCCTAACGAACAACTGCTTAACTTTGGCATCTTCCAGCCTGCAGAACACTCACCTCCTGAATGAACAGAACAATAGGCACCATTCCGTTTGCCCACCATTATGGATGGCATTGCCCTTTTACTGTCAAAACTTATAATTGCCCTTTTACTGTTAAAACTTACAATCAATTTTTTTCCCAAACAAGTGGTAGAAAGCTCATCTTTCCATCTCATCTGTTAAAGACCACTTGACCCAAGCCCTTTGATTTCTCATTTATAATGAGAAATGGTACCTACCAGGGATCTCATTGTACAAGCAATCTTGGTACTGTGTGCTGTTCCCGGCACATTGCAAAGACCCAGGACTGTGGATTTCACAGTAACGACTGCGAAACTGGATTCCATCTTCATTACACAAGCTCCATTCAGACCATTCGGACCAACCACCTAATAAACAAGGATACCAATACAGTATTATATTGTGCAGAATTACTATGCTATGAGGAATAAACATAGCCAAGTAACCTCTGAACATGAAAGTCCAACTAAACATTTATGATTCACACCCAGCCCCCTTAGCAAAGGAAGTCCCCATTAAGGAAGCACAGTGGGCTGAAAAACAACGCAACCAATTCTGCACTTTACAAAGATCAAGTGCTGTGGTTCAAAAATCTTGAGTTATTTTTAGAGAGTGGGCAGCACTTTTAAAATCATATTATTTAGAAGTCACCTTCTTTTGACATCTCCTTTGAGGTACATTAGTGGAATTACATCAGTCCTGGAATCCTGAATACGTTCTTGAAACATGAATTTTAACATAAACCCAAATGACAGCATCATAAAATATTGTCAGCTGCATTTGGTATGAGTAAAATTAGTTTATGACATTCAATTGAACCACGAACAAAAAACAACTGAGAGGACAGGAATTTGGGCTCTCAGTTGCTCTTGGAGGGAGTCACAAAGCTGTTAACAAGATTGCTCCTGGAAGAGACACCCCAATGCCAGAGTAAGGCACTGAATGTGGAGGTGATGCCTTTTTTTTCTTTGCTGGTTCAAGGCAAATTCAATATACTTGTGCAAAATCCGTCTAAATACTTGCAATCATGCCAAGATGTTACTTATTTCAACCTTTATTTTTAAATACGTCACTTGCATTTTCCTCAATCTTCCTTCCTGAAACCAGAAAAAAAATGAAATGAAACTACCTTCACATAAGTGTGTATTGCACAGTGCTTCCTCTGTGTGCAGTCCAATGCAGATATCCTCCCCATTTGTTGGTGCTGGATTGGTGCAGGTTCGAGTGCGCTGGTAGTGCCCACCTCCACAAGTTGCTGAGCACTGAGACCAGGGAGTCCAGCAGGACCATGAGCCTTTCACTGTGGATTATTAAAAACAAAGGTGAATTGGGGTCTTTGCCCAATTCAAACAAAACTGGGTTGAAAGAACAAAAAGGAGAAAGTTATGGTAGAATCCTTTGCTTAGATGAGTAGTATCCTAACCTTTTTTTAATTCTTACATTTATTTCTATATTTACAGTCACAACAAGTTTCCTGGATGTCACACAAAAACAAATACAAGATAAGATTACAAGAGCAAATACATAATGTTACAAAAAAAACCCAAACCTAAATCAACTAATTCATACCCAAATATTTATTGCATGGACCTGGGCCATCCTAATCTGAACTCTTTTGAAAATAGCCTGAAGTGATTTGTTCTCTAGTTTGTGCAGGTATTTGTATGTTTCTAGATTAGAGTTTATTTTATTTTAAATTGCCAACAGGAAGCAAAAAGCTATGACCTGGAATGGGACGCAGCAACATCAATTCTGGGGAATGTAGGGACCTTCAGTAGAAGCCTCAGAGACCTTACATTTCTGTCAACCATCAATATTTTTAGGTGTGCAGGAAAGTCCCTCTAAAATAGCATTTTGCACCAGTGAAGAAAGAACCAGCCAAACCGCTCCAATACAATGCAAAGATTCCCGATATAGGGGTGCTGTGTGAATCTCCTGTGCACATGACTTGTAACCTAATGTCCAGATAGATGCTAAAGAAACCCAACCCAATAGATTTTGTTCCCAGTGACAAGAAAATGAAACAAGGTTCTAACATGAAGTTGTTCTTCTTACTGCTACCAACAGATGACAAGAGCAGCAAGTGCTAGCATTTCTTTGTGGTGCACCAATAATAAGAAAAGAAAGAAAAAGCAGGTAAGGGAAAGAAGGCAGGGTTTGGCCCTAATGCTCTTATGAGCTAACCAATCAAAACACACATAAAATATAATACTTCCTTCCACCCACCCAATCCTCGCAGTCCAGATACTGTAATGCAAACGTGTATGCTGATTAATATATTTTGACAAAGAGAAAAAGTCCAGAATGCAATCGCTAGCCTAAAAGCAACGCAGCACCCCCCCTCCACCGTGCCTAAATACAAAATGACTGCCCAAGCAGCTGTATGCTGATATATAGACTCGAGAGACCTCAATCTTAAGTTCCCCCTGGGATCTCAGTGGTTAGACTGCCCAGGAAAGGTCTAGGACAGTGGTTCTTAACCTTGGGTTACTCAGGTGTTTTTGGACTGCAACTCCCAGAAGCCTTCCCCACCAGCTGTGCTGGCTGGGGTTTCTGGGAGTTGCAGTTCAAAAACACCTGAGTAACCCAAGGTTAAGAACCACTGGTCTAGGACATCCATTCTCAACCTTTTTTTGGCCACAGCCATAAATACAGTATGAAACAAATTCCATAACAAACCTTATAAGGTAGTGTGTGAAGAACTGTTCCCAGACCATGATCCCTTCAAATGTGCCGGAGGGGTGGGCAGGGGGCCATACGGCTACCATTGAAAATGGCTGCTCTAGGGCTTCATTGTCAATCTCTTCCTAAGCTGTTTCGTTCCTGTGCTGCTGTTCAACTCCAATATGCCTGAATACATTGGAGATTGCATGATCTTTTAGGGTGGTCAGCCCACCTTAGGATTGATTGGGGAGGTGTCCTGCTCTGCCCTGCCAATGGGCCAAAAGGATACAAATACCCCCAATTCAGTTTATTTTGCAGATTTCCTCTAAAGACAGTGCATGTCCCCAATTATTGTTGTTATGTACTGCCAGGCTGCCTCTGACTTATGCCGACCCTATGAATGAGCAATCTCCGAAATGTCCTCTTCTCAACAGCCCTGGTCAGCTCTTGCAAACTCAACCCAGTGGTTCCTTTAGGGAGGCAATCATCTGCACCTTCTCTTTGATTCGGCAGTCTGTAGTAGACTCCAACTGCCATGTTCCTTTTGTTTTCCACCCAGTTACATTAATTCATATGATCCTGATGAGAAAATCAAGTTCATCTTCTTGTATTTCTGTGCAGGAATATGTACTTTTGACATGTTCTGTGGCACCACCTCCCTTTCTATTATTTCTGTCCTTTTTGAACAATTTATATCCTTCAATTGTTGTATTCCAGTCATGGGAGTTATCCCATCAAGTTTTACTTATACCTATCAAGTCATATTTGCCTCCCTGAATTAAGACTTCCACTTCTTCTAATTTGTTTCCCATATTCCTGGCATTCGTGTACAGATACTGGAGACTGTGTGATTTGTGATCTGCTTTCCTTTGTACATTTTTATGAAGATTAGCATTGAGTCCCATTAGAGCTGCTCGGTCTGTTCCTCTTATCGTGCATAAGCCTTCACCTATCTTTATCTCTGAGCTTGCATCTTCCTCCACCTTCCAATTCAGTTTAAAGCCTTCCTAATGATGTTCTTCATGCTGTAGTTAAACACATTTTTTTCTGGTCCTTGTGAGATGCAACCCATCACTTGCCAGCAGTCCATCGTCCAGGAAGTGTAGCCCATGGTCCCAAAATCAAAATCCCTCATGTTGGCATCTCCTTCACAGCCAGTTTTGCACCTGACGTATTTCCCTTCCCCTTCCCCTTCTGAGTATTGGTAGGATGGATGAGAAGACCATCTGGGCCCACAATGTCCTTGCGTTTCCTTCCCAAAGCTTCGTCATCTGACGTGATTTCTTTGTAGCTCCTCTTGGCTGTGCTATTCGTTGCCACATGGATGAGAAGAAAGGGAAAGGTATTTGTGGGTTTTATGAGCGATGGCAATCCTTCCGTCACATCCCTAATCCGCCCTCAAGGAAACAGCATACCTGGCAGATCCAGGGATCTTCCCAGCCTATTTCAGTTTCAGCCCCACCCAGTAGGGAGCTTTCTCGTCTTTTTGTAGGGAGTGTGTTCAGTGAGTCTGCCTGGATGAGCTTCAGCCTCTTTCACGTCCTCCTGCAGGGTCTCCTGCATGTCTTCCTCTGCATGCTGTCTGTCAGATACCTCTTTAAAAATCTGAACGTGGTTTTGCAATTCCTCTGGTGAAGAGGGTCTTCTCTCTCTTTTTTCCCTCTAAGTGTGACGCCTTCTCTGTGCTTCCTCCACTATGTTTGTTCTCTCCTCAGCATTCTCCTCTGCTTTACTTTGCTGTTCTTCCACCTCCAGTGCCTCCACTGACTGCTGCTGCAGAGTTCTCTCTATGTACTCTTCATCATCTCTTGTTCCCTTAAGCCTGGCCACTCACTGTTCCCATCTGTCACTTTCTCTTCCAACGGTGTTACCAGTTTGCATTCAGTGCATGAGTACACTGTGCTGTTCTCAGGCATGAAGACAAACATGGCACACATTCTGCAAGTCGCCATCAGTTGTTTCTTCCCTCCAAAATCCCTGTCAACTTTTTTTCTCTTCTGTTTGTCTATGAGTGATGTTTCCTTTGTTTTATCTGTGTTTAAAGATGCTGGGAAACTCCACTAATATAGAACCCTCTGCTTTCATCTCCTTCGTCTCCCCTTTTCTTTTGTCTCTTCTATCAGCAGACCCTTTACTTACTACCTCTCCCCTGTCAAACTCTTGCTGGCTATCCCTGACCACTCATTCTGGTCATTTGCTTCCTGGGCTCTGTCTCAATGTTATTCCTCTGCTGTGCTCTCCAAGTACTCTCAGCTGCCACTTAGTGCTCTCAGCAATTATAAGGATATGCCTTTCCTTACCACCCCCTCCCCCATATTCTTCCTGTGGTCTCTTCGGAATCAGCAAACAGAAAGAATTCTTGCAATAAGCAGAGGGTTGGACTCAGTGACCTTATAAGCCCCTTCCAGCTCCATTACTGATTCTCCGATTCTGTGACCAACTATTTGCAATGCAAGCCACAGTAACAGAGTGGCTTACAGAGTGTTAAATATAATTAGTGTGCAATTTAGGATACAGTTTATCAGCAAATATGGTTCTTAGGGTTTGGGAAGAAGAGAAAGGAGAAAGAAGGGTTTTTTAAATTGTTTTAGTCCATTCACAAATAGATTATAAATGCAAGATCAACATTAAGCAGGAAAGTATATTTCCTGTTTGACACGCAAGAAGGCTAACTAAAACCACTTCTTGAAAACAAACACAAAGCAGGAACAAAGGCCAAATGTCATCTTTTAGTAAGCAAGCTTCTTTTGAAATACAAACTATATTTCTTCATAGCCTCAGTTGACAAAGAGGGGATATAGATTTGGACATGCCCTTTCGACATCTATTTTTTTTTCTTTTCTGAGGATAAACAAAGAGCCACAATGTGACATAGCTTCCATCTGCACATGCTAATGTCTTGTGTAAAACCTGCTGTGCACACTCAGAATCTGCTCTGCTATGAAGCACAATGAAACAACCTCCTTCAAGTGGCAGTGAGTTAGTTAGTAGGGGCAGTGGTAGCATGGAATATGTGAAGGCTAGAAATGAATGGTACAAAAAGACTTTTTGAAGTGTTGATCTTAATGGAAGAGAGCATCACATGGCCTTTGTCTCAAGTAACAAAATATTTTGGGCCAGCAGTAACAAATAGGTCCGAAATTCACAGCATACTTTTGCAGCACATTAGTGGTGATGACTCCATGTTCACGAGAGAAGAGAAGAGAACAGTAATTACCTGGACAGGGATGTGGATTACAATCCTGATACTCCATTGCAGAGCCTATACAAGGGAGGCCACCATTTTTAGGTTCTGGGTTGGTGCACGTCCGCTTCCTGGTTCTGAAACCCAGCTCACAGTCTCTCGAACAGGATGACCAGCCTCCCCAAAAGGACCAGCCACCATTGATAATCCGAATAGAGGTTTTACCACTTTTCAGCAGATCATCAACTAGAGCTGGAGGTGAGGAAAAAAGAATTAAGAGAAATCAGATTTCTCTAATTAGAGGCACCGACACACAAGGAAAGCTTAGAAATACTAATTCCAGGTATCCATATACAGTATGCTTGTCATGGCACATATGGCATCCAGTGGTGAGGATGGTAAGTCTCAAACTTCCACCCATCAATGGGCTTGCAGAAGTGAACAGGCATCCTTCAGGCAACTGAATAATGATTCCACAGCCTCCAAGTATGCACCTGGGGACATGGAGGATAGTCAGTAGGGTCAGAGAGCCCAGGAAAGCTCTAGCTCTCTACCCTTTTCTTCCACACCACACACAATTCCGTAGACCTCCATCATGATCCAGACTTTCTTGCCTCTCTAGACTTTAAAAAAATGCCAAATTTTGTGATCTCTTCTTAGAGAGGATCAATTTTAGCCCCTTGGTCATTCATTTTAATGACCATTTCCTGCACATTTTCATTTCTAAAGTATCCTTTCTATAGTGCAGATCTGCATTTTCAGTCTACAACTCCAGTATAGCTGCCCAGAAAATGTGCCGAGTGTACTCCAAAAACACAAATCTGCATGTTTCTAGCAGTAGCCAAGCTTGCATACAGTATTATCAAGTATAACTGCACCACACATTATTTAATAGTATCTAAAGAATCAAAATATTAACAGTTTCATTTTTGGTAAATGCCTATTATCCTTAGCATAGATTCTACCTTCTTCACCTCATCAGTTGATGTCTCCATTGATCTTTCTGTCACTACCCCATCATCACCTTTCTTTGTGAGCCCCTGCCAACCTAATCCACCAAACAGTCAACAGACTAAGTCATACCTGATTTGAAGATTCTAGGCCAAGAAAGGACAGAATTTCTATCTAACACATATTGGGGAAAATAGGGGAGATGAACAAAGATTTACTTAGAAGACTGAATGGAAGGATTAGCATGAAGCCCGAAAACACAAAGGGAGGAGTGGACATCTACTATTGAAGTGGCTAAGACATTTTGTACTCCATATGTCTGTGTCTGTATACTGTACCCATGAAAGATCACATGGAAATAAATCTGCTAGGCTTAACGTTATTTTTGAATGTTTCTGTTTTGTCTTGCTTCTGTTACTGTTAGAACAGACTTCTCAGAGCTACCTCTCTGAAAAGGGGGAAAAGAAACTACAATCTAATTAACTCTGTATTGCAGAAGTAACTTGTCTAGAAGAGCCATGTAAGTGAAACCATGTACTGATCTCTACTTTTCAGTTTTTACTGTTAACATACTATGAACATAGTATGTTAACAGTTTCCTGTAAATGTTGTCTGCGGCTTAGCCCAATTGATGAACTTCAGTTTTCCTTCTGAAAAGCTTCGTTTTATTTGCGGAGATTTGCAGTGGTAGTCTGCTTTGTGTCATTGGGCACAAATTATGGCCCCTTCATCCCCTTACAAATGGACCCAATCCCAGTATCATCTCATGAACCTTTGCCATGTAAAACTGCACCAGGCTGAAGTGGCTTCCGTGCTGCTGGGCAAATGTGTAGAGGGCACCCTAACAAGCCCAGATAAATTAAGGTAAATCCCATAAATAACGGACAGCTTTTCTTCAAAATTCCCAATAGATTTCATGCTGTTCATCCATTCTATTCCTGTTGAACATAGTCTCCATCTGTTGCTGGTTTTGATTTGCTCTGTTGCTATCAACGCTGCTTGGTGTTTATTCAATCCTACACTTCATCTGCTCACACCTCTGGTATGAATAATAATGAGCTTAGCTCGGCACTTCCGTTATCTGCAGCTAGGCAGGACGTACAATCTGTGTCGCAAACTGCTGAGCCATCATTGGGGCAGAATCGACTTTCTGTCTTCTTTCTACCAAACTGGAGGTCATGGGGGTCGGAGAGCTGTGCACGGCAGGTATAGCGGAAGCGCTGCTCCTGCCGAGCGCCACTCTGGGTGATGTTGGTGGGCATCCACGGTGTCCATGGTGTGTTTCTCCGCACCTCTGGGCAGGCCTCTGGGTTGCAGGTTTTATACTCCTACGAAAAGGAAAAGAATGTGAAGGCAAGATAGGAAGAGGAAAACCCGCAGTCCTCAATATTTGCTTGCACAACTGCAGTTTTATCACTCCATATGCGTACGGAGCAATAAAATTAAACCTCTGAATATTTGATTAAAAAACAAGAGAAACAACTGACAAAAATGATTCTTGTGAGGTACAGAAACAAGTTCTCTTACTGAAACATTTTAAACATCTTGAATGTTGTACTAAAACACCAGGACAACAAACTCAGCAATGCCATATCCCCCATCCCCAATCATCTGTGTAGAGACACCCCAAGTATCATATCTTGGTGCAATGCTAGAGTGTGACCGAACATTAAGAGCTTACTTTCAGATGTTTCCCATAATGCTGAGAGATCTAAGGATTGGTTTCATAAAACCAGAATTTTAGAGTTAACATAATGTTCTACATCAGGTTAAAAATCAAACTCCTTCATTTCTTGACACTGTTCATCACATACATTCATGACTACAATCCTTAACAGAATTGACCCTCAAGCACATGCCCCAGGGGACTAAGACATTTACTGGAGCAAAGCTGCTGTTGCATTTGGCATAATCAGAAGCACTCTGGGGGAAGCAGGTTATGAAATGCGATTGCAAGTTTCCTCTGTAATGGATCCAAACTGCAATGTAAGTTGTTTTTATTTTATTTTTTGAGAAAGACTATGCCACTGGCTATGCCACTACCAGGTTACTGCCAGGGATTGTCAGAAACAGCAAGTGAGTGCAGAATGAGCATCAGATCTCTGACCCAAAGAATTGGGGGGAAATGTAACAAAAGAAACAAGCAAGCCAGAAAAAATTTAAAAAGAGGGGGGAAGGGAGGGAGGGAGAAAGAAAGAGAATTAAAAATACCAGTAGCCATCTAAATGCAAACATACCACAGCACAGCCTGGGCAGGTGTTTCCATTTTCACAGGACCTCTGTCTTGAATGCACCCCGCCACCACAGTTTGCACTACATTTATTCCAAGGTCCCCATGAAGACCAAAAGATTGGTAATGGGCATGGGCTGTTCTCATTGCAAAACCTGAAAGAAAACAAAATTGGGGAGTGGAACAGGGAAACAACTTAGTGCTCTGACAGTTGCAAAGTGGAGGGAAATGAGTAGACGAAGTGTTAATACCACAAAGAAGAACTCTTAACAGGAGGCTGGCAAGAAATCTGAAGCTAATTATACGTTAAAACCTGATCTTTATGACTGCTTAGCAAGTAATAGGTTAGACTGAAAGAAAAGGCTGGTATCTTTTATTTGGTTTTGAAAGCTACTCAAAAAACTGGCTCCTAGTTGGCTATCTCCTGAGCACAGTATGAGAGGAAGCAAATAACATAGCCTGAGAAGATCCATCTTTATTCAAAAGTAAGTTGTAATTTTAATCACTGGGATTAATTACCTAGGAAATTTCTATCAAACCCTACGGTTCAGTTCCAGGACCCCTATGGATCCTTGCCACTGACAGTAGAAGCCTGTCAACAAATACTGGAGACAGCAATTTGAAATGTCATCTCTTCCCAGTCAGAAACTAGAGTGGGACCATAGCCTCCCCTTCCCTTATAGCTCTTCATGGCATTCAAAGCTCCCAGCCTTCAGAGCAGATCTGAAATTACAGTACACAGAGGGAAGGGAGATCTGCCACCTCTAAGATTTTCTGATGAACTTCTTTTGTCAGTGTAAGAACCCAGCAAGATCCTGGTCAATTAAATCTCTTCTGAATGGAGATAGGCTATGCAGTTATACAGCTTGCATAGGTTTGCAGCTTAGTCCGACGATTGTCTTCTTTTTCAAGGTATTGTGTCCGTTTGTCTCCAGGCTCCTTCGATTTCCTATTCTTCTATGTATTTTGTTTTACTACAGTAATAGCATTTGTGTACAGCCTATTAATGGGTTCTTGGGGTGGTTATATTTTCAGTAGGAATCCCAATATAAATGAACATGGTATTCAGCTGGTTCAGACCACCATTTCTGCAAATGTCTTGGATTAAATTTATTTCTCTCTGCCTGTTTCAAATAATAAAAAAATTCTAGCTACGCTGTCACCACTCAGTCCTTAGTGGAAACACCATTACAAACACCAGAGAAAATGTTGAAACAAACGGAAGTTCCATTTCCAAAGAACACAGAGGAAATGAAAGGTCTTTTGCCACTCCAAATTCTTTAGGAGATTTCTGTCTTGAAATCTCAAGGCTAAGACACAGTTTATGGTTTTTTTCCATGCACCTTTAAGCTTTTAGAAAATTGCCACAAATTGCTGGCAAATCTTGGGTCTAGTGCTGGATCGTAGGAAAGTAGTTTTCTGGTGATCTACCAAACTGTGGATATGTCCAGGATATTGATGGGTTTTAAAACCTATGTTTAACTAGAAGACTCTGATGGAGAAAGACACTGTCCAATGCTAGAGGTCTTCTCCCTGGACAAATATATTAAGGCCATTCCCTATTGCCCCAAGGACATTGCCTTTAAAAAAAAATCTGGACTGGGAACTCAAGGAGATGACATTTTTCAATGGACACAAAGGGTTATGTTATTTCCCCATGCTTACAGCATTTCACATAAAAATGCACTATCTTTTATAAATCACTCACAGACTCAGTTGACACAAATAAATAAGCTGTATAGGAAGCAACTGCTTTGAAGGTTAGATGTAATTTTATCTAAGTATATTTACATTGCAATAAATTTATTTAATTTTTAAACAAATAACTACAAAATAAAATTAAGTTAGTCCCCAAGGAGTCCCCTTTGCATGTACACAACAAATTGCTTCCATCTCTATCCAACTGATCTGCTAGTGAAAACTGATAGATGGGTAGGTCATGGCCTGCAGTGTGGCCTTCACACAGTTGTTTTTAAAAGCAGTCACTACTCAGCAAGTACAAAAAGTCTGACTTAAATGCTGAATAAGTGTGGAAATGTTTTTTAGGTTTATGTTGTGCTACAGTTCATTTTTGCTGCCAGACTACAGAAGCGGGACATATTAAAAAAGCTAGAGTATCTTCATTTTTCTGGAAGGAAGGATCCTGACTCAGTTAAAAGTCAACAGAGTATCCTCATTTGCTAGAATGAAACTCCTGCTAAGTTTTTTCCATCTTGAACTATTACTGTTGTTTTTATTTTGGGCTGGTCACCTGACCGTAATAAATACATTCTTTCTTTCTTTCTTTCTTTCTTTCTTTCTTTTTCTTTCTTTCTTTCTTTCTGTTGTTATTATTTTATTATATGTTTTTTATTTTTATCTATTATTGTCAGCCGCCCAGAGTAGACTTCGGTCTAGATGGGTAGGGTATAAATTCAATAAATAAATAAATTGGCCACAGAAGGTCTCCTCCTCCAGCAGGCTATCCGATTCCTACCCCCATTAATTAACACTCAGATAACACTGTTAAGCAAGTTTATTTGTGGGAGACGCGTCATCGTAGACATTCTTAAAAACTTTCTTTTTATATTTCTGTACACCTCTAGCTTCTTGAAGGTATTATGATGTTTTCCTTTTGTTTATCAGTGGCCTCATTTCAGCTCTGTTTCTGCTGATATTCACTATTAGAGAGAAGGCTATTTTCTCTTGCCCTTTAGCACAAAGTGCTACCAAGGTGGATAAGCCCTGAGAGGCAGCACCAAACGCTACTGCATACTGTCCTGCAGTATCCAGTCACATCAACTTTGACAACTTCACACTGGTTCTTTACATGATGTCCTCTTGAACTTGCCAGATAAGTGCTATAATCTTCATTTATTTTGAAAAAATTTATCCTGCCTTTCCACCTTAAGGTCTGCAAAGCTGCATACAGTTTATAATAAAATAATTTAGAAGCAAAGACACAGTCTAACACTACCACAAAGAAGGCCCTGTCCTATTGCCAGCTGTCCAACTTCCATAACTGGAACCACCAGGAATGAGCCCTCAGACAGAGATCATCGATGAACTGGCTCATATGGCAGAAGGCAGCTGTGTAGGGTTGCACATCTATGTGGCAAATGTATCCTTCAAAAGAAACACAAAGCTCTCAGCCAAGAAAGTCTGGTAGATGTTTAGGGATGGGGAACGACTCTCACCGCTCCTCTCTGCTTTGTCCGACACAGACCCTGCCTCCGTATCGCGGAGCAGGGTTGCTGCATGACCTCTGACGGACCTGAAAGCCAATCCCACAGGACGTGCTGCAGGGGGCCCAGGACGACCATGGTGTCCAAGCTCCATTCCTGACAGAGGAGAGGGGGAAGGAAGAAAGATAAAACATGGCATCTGGGTTAATTTATTTGCTTTTCAACTTTATGGTAAGTTCAACGCCACTGGCTATGGAATACCAGCAGGTTGCACAGGCTGACTCTCTCCACAAAGTACCTGTTTGTAAAGATAAACCCCAAAAGCAGAAGAAGATTCAGCGTTAGGATCCGACATGGGTTTGAGTTTTCATCAATATCTTCTTCAGACAAACATAACTCACAATGGTTATAGACTCACAAGGTCTTTTAAAAACTCTAGTACTTCATACAGTCTTCAATGATTGTGTGAGTGAAATTTATAAAATAATTTTATAGGGGCAAAGACAATGGATACTGGAAGGACAACAATTGCATGGGGACAGGCATGGAAAAAGAAAGTTTCTCGGGCTTCTTCAAGGGTCATTAAGATGTGTTTAATTTGGGTCATTATATGCTGCATATAAACATAATTTATAAACAGTAAATAATTTATCTATTACATCTTCCAAACCACCAATTCTAAAGGCTCAGAGCAGGTTATGATGTTTTTTTTAAAAAAAGCCAACCCCGAAAATGAGATAAAATTTTATTGCACTAAATCAAAAAAGCCAGCAATTCAAAATCTTAGCTAACGTTCTCTAAGCATGGGAACTAAATATTTATTAATTTTTTTAAAAAAGGTTACTTGGAATGTTTAAGAGTTAGGCACTGCCTGCGTAACAAGGTGAAGTCAGATACTGGCGGTATAAAATGAAACAGATTGCCAAGTCCTTCTCTCAGTGTGTTCTTTTCGGTAATATTCCTCAACAACCTTTCCCTCAAGTTCATTCATCCTTGTCCAACCACCATGTTTCACTTTTGCCTTTCCTATTTACCTCAAAAGAGCAATAGACATTAAAACTCTGGATTACTATCAAGATCCATTAGTTGGAGAGAGTAATTCGGATATGCTGATCAAGTCTCTTGAAAGAGATTGTGAACATGCCACTTATTTCTTGAACTGCTTGTGTCATTTTCTTAGAAAAAAGAATCACAACAGAGAATGAATTTCAGGTACAAAATTACTTCTCCCTTCTGAGGATCTCATCTTACAAAAAGCCACCAGATACATTTCCTAATTCTCCTGCTTTCTCTATCTTGCTGGTTGTCACCAAGAGAAGTTAGTCATTTTCTAAAGTTCATCCCAAGTCCCTATTGCAAGCTATCCTGTTACTTGTGTTCCTGGAGGTGGTGCTTATGAACAGATGTGACAATTTTCGGTGACTGAATTAACAGAAGTGCCTGGCAACTGGTAGATATCTGGCAGAACACCAATTACATCAAGGAGATTAAAATGGAAATCTGAGTCGCCTTCACACATTTAAGTAAGTTTATCCATTCCCTCAGTCTCTTGGCAGACTGACTTAAAACCGGGAGTATTCTGCTTTTCTTACATTAAAATATGAGGAATTTTTAAAAAGGACTTTACACAAACTACTATTTAATTGTCTCCTCCCCTCTCCCCAGGATGTCTAGACGTAGTAGCAAATGATGGCTAGAATACTATTAGTTACCTCACTGTATGTGCAAAGCTTTTGGGATCCTTGGGATGGTTAAGATCCAAAAGTCACTGCCAGTTCTCCAGTGGAGATCCTGATCCTGGTGGTGGTGATTAAAGGCTTCCACCATACCATCATGAGACTCCCAAAGGTTTCCCCAGAGGAAAAGGCATGGCTAAGATGCCTTGGAACATGGGTGGTGAGAGACATTGCAGTCTTCAATTAAATTAATTTAAATTAAAGAGTAATATTGCAGACTGACATCATAATTTACACTATCATCATTAATTATTGTCATTCAAGAGGATTTCAGCCATTTTCGTGTGTGTGTGTGTGTGTGTGTGTGTGTGTGTGTAGGGTTACATTAATGCAACTATGCAAATAACTCACTCAGTTAGCAAAACATCTGACTTGCTAAATGTTTTGGACAACAGCCAGGATATCTGAATAAATAAAGTTCTACTACATATGTGCACATTTTGTTTAGATAATTAAGATTTTAAGAGCAGGAAACTAGATTTATATGCAAACTGTAGACAATTCTCAATAAGCTTTTCATCAGCAAAGTTTCTTTTCCAATCTGAAATCTTGCTTGTTATTAAAGCTCTTATTCAAGTATCCTAACTTATGTATCACAATGCCATATGAAGCCAGTTAAAATGGAATTTCTAGGCTTGTCATGAGCACAACATGATCAATCATGGTTGATCATGGCTGCATTCCTTAACAGCCACTAAATTTTAACAGTGAACACACATTTCCTCTACTTCCTACAAGCTGATTTTGTGGCATTCAACTCGTTGGAGATCACATTGTTGGCAATGCCTGAATGATTACATCAGCTGCCTTATGTTTCTTGGAGGCAAAACAAGGCTCCACATGGCGGAAGTGTACCAGTTGTGGAAATAGCTTTCCTGGCAAACCTAATGGAAGCTTTAATTAAACTTTAAATATATATACATACACACACATATACACAGAAGAAATAGAAAGATACAGTATTTAGATCCCTAGCCAGTCACAAGTTCATTTGGAGGTTTTGAAAAAGCCCCTTTCTCATCATCTCTCAAGTCTGGAACATGGTAATACAAGTCTACCACACAATTTCATATGAGCAAACATGATTCTAATGAACTCAGCACATCGGTTTCTAAATAAGAAACCAATCATCCTGATTTCCCTTAGCTAATACTGTTGCAAATCTAACTTTCTGTAAGAAAGAGGCGAAAGCCACTTTCTTCCAATATTATGATGACATGAGAGTTATGCGGAGACTAGATCAAACAGCTTCGGCAGAGCAGCTGCTCTAGATTCAGGCTAAAACGTGCAAATATATTCTTTCACAAGAATCAGTCATGTTATGGAGAATGTTTCCACAATGCCCCGAGCCAGACATTTATGGTAGATCTGGAGAGCAGTTTGACTACACATAGGCTATGTCAACCAAATCCCCCAAAATGAACTACATTCTTTCTAGGATGATACCTAAGAGGATCAAATGCATCGTGCCATGCTTGCAGCCTGTGGCAAGTAAGTGTGTTTACGTCTGACTAATTCTTATGGCAAATAATTTCTCTCTCCAAATCTAAAATAACAAGAAAAACAGCTGATAAAGGACACATGATGGGGATGATAATTGTGGGAGAATAGCTTTCATGCAGAGTGGTCATGATGACACAAATTCAGGGTAAATCAGATGTGAAAACTGGCCCTCAGTGACTCGGGCAACCAAAAGCTGCCTGTTTAGCTGCCTGTTGAGCTCAGCTGGCTGCACAGCACCAGACATATTATTAAGGAGAAAAGTTCGATTCGTCTTCCTTTTCTATTAACTCACAGTGACATTCATTTATATAACAATCATGCCTCAAACGTCTCTATGGGTAGCCCTAGATTTTTTTAAAGTTTGTGACCAAAGCCACAAACAGCATTCAGTTCCACCTCCCACCCACTCTGGTAGGTTTATTTTTATTTCACTTGTTTTAGTATTTGGGCAATACTAGGATTTCCATAGCTGGCTGGATAGGTCACCGAGTTGGAGCACCTAGCTGCAGAGCCAGGAGTTGGGACTTAGGTTTGCCACTGCACCTCCCAGGAGAGCAGCTAACCTATGTGGTCTTGGGCAAGCTTCGTGGTCCCAGAACACCTACAGAAGAAGGGACTCATATACCACTTCTCAGGACTTGAGCTACAGAAACATTTTAAAGGAGTTGCCATAAGTCAGAATTGACCTGGCAGCATACAGAAATAATAATCTGAGTTCTAGTATTCCACTAAACTGGAGCAAACATACATTTGCAAGTTTTTCAGATCTGCAGGAGGCAATCAGCATGTGATGCAGGGGATAGCATGTGTACGGCATGCAAAACAGTGCATTATATTAATGGAGTTAATGTAATGTTCTTGGTCAAACATTATGCAATTAATTCTAGTTTTAAAACTGTGAGCAGAGACAGAGACAGGAAGAGATAAACAAACTCTTTTATAATACTTTGAACACAAACCAATGGATAGAATTCTATGGATGCTTGAATAAGGTTTGCAAAACTTGCTGTTGCTATTTGTGGCTAACTGATCAGGTAATGAGGCAGGACTCAGTTGTGCAACCAGGTACATGACCAACACACACCCTGGCATCTTGTCAATGTAGCAGGTTTTGCAAATCTTATGTGAGCAACAGCAATGATTTTGGCCTACACTTTTCAAAATATGTTTAAGAACTAAAGCAATTCATGAATTACCCTCTAAGTTTTAAGTGGCTTAGCTCAGTGGTCCCCAACCTTGGGCCTCCAGATGTTCTTGGACTACAAATCCCAGAAGCCTTCACCACCACCTCTGCTGGCCAGGATTTCTGGGAGTTGAAGTCCAAGAACATCTGGAGGCCCAAGGTTGGGGACCACTGGCTTAGCTAACTGAATGCCACTGAGGACCAAAGCAGATAAGATCCATGAGATCCCTAAGCAGAATCCCCTTTAGTATTTCTTTTACACCAAAGTACCAGGGTGCGGGGGGGGGTAGTGGTGGGGATATGATTTAGCTTGGAGCAGACATTTAACCCCCTCTCCTCCTCCCTTTTCCTGGTATCATACTTTATGGGTCACCTGATTTGGCCCTGCTTTAGACTTTAGCATGCCCACAGAATGTATTAGATTTCATTCTTGGAATTTCCAGTTACATAAACCTCAGCAGAGATCTTCCTGTGGCCCCAGGGAGCTGCTGCCAGTCAAGGCTAAGGAGCACTAAGCTAGATACACCAATGACATAAGGTTGCTTCGTACGTTTATAATTTAGTTGTTCTGAGCTGCCCAGGGCACAATGAAAAAGCTGGACAAATGTCCACATGTCAGATGCTTACTGCACTACCCCCCATTCTGGTCACTAACATCCTAGTGAATTGCAAGAATTTTTGAAGTGCAGTGACAATTCCAAGGCTGGTTAATACTTAGAAGATATAAACCCAAGGATGCTATTTATTCCAGATTAAGTACTATATGACGAGTATGTGACATTGGAAATTATTTCTTTGCTGACTTCAGAATTTTTTTTGGTGACAGGGTGTTACTTATTTTTGTTTTTTACGGCAATCATGTTTTCATTCAGGGATACCAAGGCAATATACATGATTCCTTTGTTTTACATCATTCATAAGCAACCTGTGAGATAGATAAAGTTGAGAAGCAGTGGCCCCTTATAACCTTGAGCAGGGCTGTCACTCCTGGCACTCACCAGTTGCACCACAGGAGTTTTGCAGTGGCATTGCTACTTTTTCTGGTAGCCCCTCCCAGTTTCTGAACTCGGTGGCAGAGAAAGGAAACCTCGGATTGTCTAGTTGTTTTGGACTTCAGCTACTAGCAGCTCTAGCCAGCATGGTCAACAGTAAGAGATCATGGGAGCTGTAGTGCCAAAATAATCTGAAGTGCGAAAAGTTTCCCACCCGTGGGTATGTTTGACCAAGAAGTAACACAATGGCAGACAACAGATGAATGTCCCTCTTTTACATAAAAACACACAAATATGCTTAAATATAACATACACAAGTAACTACCTTGAGCAATTTGCAATCTCTATCGTGGCTCCATCACAGTCACGTCCTCCACAGCGAGGCTGAGGGCTGTTACAGGATCGCGACCTGCACATGCAGGAGCCTGTGTTGTCTCCGTCTGAGTGCTCACAGGGTTGCCATGGGGACCAGGGCCCTAATCGCCCATCAACCATCAGATTTTTCACCTAATTTGAATAAAGAGAAAGGCTCATGGTGAGTTTACACATCATTTGCCTCCACTGTTTACAGAAGCAAAGATGCAGTGCAGACATGGAGATGCCTGAGAATCTTCTCACTCCCTTCAGATGATAATACCATGCCAATATTTGCCTTCGGATTTCAAGTGATGCATCTAACCCATGAAGACAAGCAGACCTAATTAGGAAAGCATAAATCAAGACACCCGGTAGTCCTCAATACACAGGCAACATGTCCTGTTCATCCTGAGGATGGTGCCAGGATCAAACTCTGACAGGAATGACTGATTATACAAAATGAATCAATTGTACAGCTTGCTTCTGAACTCTCATTTCAGCCGCAGCTTACAAAAACTAGTGGCAACATTCCAATTTATGGCTCCAACATTTCACTTGAATGTAGTCAACATCACTGCACTGTTTGATGCATCTCTTAAGTGCACGCTCCATGGGATGCTGTTTTTATCATGCTACAGCACAAAGGAAGATGACAAGAAGAAAAAGGAAATCCTTTCCTCCAGACATGGGACACATGTTGCACTCCATGTCCGTGGAATGCAACTCTCACCTACTTTCCCTATGTAAAGCAAGGTCCAAGAACATGTGGTCATCTAGATGTTGCTGGACCACAATTCCCTCCTCAGGCTTGGGTGAGAGTTGTGGTTCAGCAACATCTGGATGACCACATGTTCTTGAACCTTGCTTTACATAACCTTGATTTTGCCTATTCAAAAAGCCTTTTCCCTCATCTCTTCCATGCATGTCCACTATTTTTCTACCCATAAAATAGTGGACATGCAGGGAAACAAGGTAATAAGGTAATGTGCTGCCAATCAAGAGGCTCTGTATAATTACTCTGTCTTGCCTCCATTTATTTATTTATTTAGTAGTAAGAAGGAATGGAAGAAGCAATGGGGAAACACAGGGGGTTTCTGCAGAAAAAACTAACATTATCTGGACCACACCTACTCCTATAATTCCTAAGGAAGGCAGGGTGATTGCATGACAAAAGCATTGCCTTATAGCACCCAGCTTTTTTCAATATTTCTTGGCAGAAGCCTTTACCCCTCAGTTGAAATAACAATATCCATGTTGGTAAATAAAGTGAAACAAGATAAACACTACCCCAAGAGCAGTCCTTCAGCAGGTAATGATGAGGAAAGTACTTTCTCTACCCCGTTAGAGTATGAAAAAATTATATCTCTTACCAGAAGGCAAATCTGAAGCACACAACCAATTAGTATCATAAATAGGATTACAAATCTTTCTTTCCTAAATACTGCTTTCATCTCCCCCCCCCCCCGGCACAGTTAAGCATTCCCTTGACACGTCCTATGAGCAGTCACCCCTCATTTCAAGATTATAAGAAATGACATGGAAGTAATTTAGGTCTGTCATTATGCTCATCATTCTGTAGTCAGAGGACTTTAAACATCTGTTCCAAAGCTTTGTTTTCACCACACTGTAATTCAGTAGTGTACAAACAATAAGCATATAAAGGAGTGCTGCACTGAGATCGCTCCATTTTGCTTCAAATTGCAGTCAGCTGGAGTACTTCTTTTAAGAAAAAAAAGGCAAACTAGTTAAGATGAGTAATAGCAAAATGACAAAGAACTAAGCTATAATTTTGAAGAAAACTGGGTGCATCCACCCAATACATATTTCTTGTTCACCAGATGTTAAGCACAACACTTGGAAAAGTTACTTTAGAGTGAGATTTTGGGAGTTGTGGTTCATAAGCATAATTTTCTCCTGGTTAAGAGAGAAATCCTTTATACTGTCATAACTCTCTCTTCTCAGACAACCTCCTGCCTCTGCAGTTAACTTACAGATCTTGCTGCAAGCTGAGGTTCCTTTAAGAAAGGACTAGACCAGGGGTGTCCAACCTTTCACCTTCCCTGGGCCACATTAGAAGATGAAAATTTGGTCTGGGCCACACATACATTTGGTTTGGGCCACATGAGGGGTGCAGCCCTAGCCATCCTCCGCAGCCCCGCTCCAAGCGTGCTTACCAGCAGCTGCGATCTCAGACAGCAGAGGCTGCCAGCTTTGACTCCGGTGGCTTTATGGGGCTGGGAGGGGGTCCACCTATTGATGGGGACAGCGCAATGCAGTCACGCAGCCCCCTGTCCCCTCCCCTCCCACTCCTTCCTTCCTTCCCTCTCTCCCCCTCTACTGTTGTGACATGCCCCGGACACATTCCAACCCCAAGCACCTGCAGTGTAACTTGAAACTTTGGAATTTCTTTAAAAATAAAAAGTTGCGCTGGGCTGCATTATGAGCTGACCTGGGCTGCATGCGGGCCTCGAGCCGCAGGTTGGACAAGCCTGAACTAGACAAAATTCACAGGAGAAAGGTTTATGTACAATTGCTTGCCATGTTGGCTAGATGCAGCTTCCAGGTTTAAGGCAATATGATGCTGAGCTCTCTTCAGTTACCAGCTCCTAGAGAGCTTGTGGAATTTGCAGAGGCCTCTGTTTGGCTGCTAGACAAAAACAGGAAAGATGTTGGAGTACCCTTAGTACACACCCTTAGTCTCATTTACTAGCAGGTTATTTCTTATGTTCTCAAACCATAACAGCTTAATGAAATAGGAAGAGATACAATAAGATAATTTGGTTAGGGAAACACATTCTCTGTAAAGTAGCCCTTCCCCAATACATATGAGTTTTCCAGGGGGAGGAACATTTCTTTGTTTCCCATCCCTTCAATTTCACACAAGAATAACAGAATTTAAAAGTTTAGATTTACTTCACTCTGATTCCGAAGTAAACTCTGCTGCTGTTCTTCAAGACTGAAATTCCACCATTTGTAGAGATCGATGATGAACATGTATTTTTACAACTTATTTGTCCTTGAAGTCTCTTGAATCTTACAAGAATCTATATAAGCAAAGCCCCTTTCTTGCCCTTTAATTTTCCTGCTCTCAAGAGAAACAGAGACAGAAGTCTTGCCAATGTTACTAATGTAATTTACCTTTTAAAATGATAATAAAATAGTCATGCCTCGCTTTACGATTGCCCCGCATTATGACGATCTTTTTGTGATCGCAATTGTGATCACAAAACGATGGTCTAAATGGGGTTTTTTTGCTTTGCGATGATCGGTTCCTGATTGTTCGCAAAACGACGTATTTAAAACAGCTGATTGGATTGTTTGCAAAACGACGTATTTAAAACAGCTGATTGGTGGTTTCAAAATGGCTGCCGGGTAAACAAAATGGCTCCCCGCTGTTTTCTGGGACGGATTCCTCGCAAGACAGCCAGCGAAAACGGGTGCCCTATGGAGGATCTTTGCTGGACGGTGAGTTTTGACCCCACTGGAACGCATTGAAGGGGTTTCAATGCGTTTCAATGGGTTTTTTTTCGCTTTACAATGTTTTTGCTTAACGGCGATTTTCCTGGAACGGATTATCGCCGTTAAGTGAGGCACCACTGTAGTACTGTCGAAGGCACGAGGACAGGGTTACAAACATGTCTTTTTGAAAAGACAAATGTATTTTTGCCTGTCTGGAAAAAGGAAGCAAGTACCTGCTGGCTCGCTGATTTGGGATTACTTCATGGAGATATAGGACAACCATTAATGTACGCTCACCGATATTAGAAAACAAAGCAAGGGCTTTGCAAAACCTGATTCAATAGGACTGTTACAAAGACTTTAAAATAATCCTGCTATGGGGCTGAGTAGATGTAGCATCTAGCACAGTCAAACATTTTATAATGAAAACTATGGTGCAGAAATGAAATGATAGGATCTTAAAGTTATACGGGGGACATACAACCTAATGTCTAATTTCCTGTTAAGTGAAGGAAATCCAGAAGCAAAACATTCCCAACAGATTAATGCCATGTCTCTACGCCAATCTCTACGCCAGTACATCCCAGTCTTCCATCATCGGCGATAATTAGTTATATGATCAATTGTTATGTTTCTCATTCTGATAAATAAAAAACTCCCATCCTGCCACTCAAGCCCAACAGAAGCAGTCTGTTTTTATTGTGTGTGTTTTAAAAAAAGCATGTTGCTATGTTTTCCCATGCAACTTCTCCTCAGCAAATGTATTAGGTTTCCTCAACTTCTTCTCACAGGATTTTTAAACACCAGGAATTTTCACTGCTCTCCGTTGAATCCAAAAATACAAGGTGATATGCTCTGGTTCCATTTAGTGGCCTGTTCTAATATCAAACCTTGGAAATATTAATAAAATACAAACAACAAAGCTAATTCCCTTGCCACGTAGGAGTATATGAACACAACTAAAGTGTCACTTATTATAGCTACAAGCCAATTGTAACAACTAGCAGCACTCCTCATCATAAGCAACTGTTTAGAGCCAATCTTTTACTTTTAATCAGTTACCTCCAAACTCTCAAATGGAATACAGCATAGATTTTTAACCTGTGGTTAAGAATATAACAGATATTAAAAAAAACACCCATGGATTAAAGACATTTGTAAAGAAACTCAAGGAAAACAAATGGATGATATTGTAAAGGCTGTGAAAAATTGGACTGTACCTAGTCCAGATGAGCTGCACAGATTTTGGTTAAGGTATCTACCAAGTGTCCATCAATGTATAGCAGTGCAATTTAACAGTACTTCAAAATTCTACAACTGAAAATTGGATGACAACAGGCCGCACATTTCCAATAATAAAATATCATCAAAAGGACAACGATCCCCAGTAATTACTGACCAATTACATGACTTCCAACAATGTTCAAGCTCCTTAAAGGAGCACTTGCAAGACCAATATATAATTACTTAACTGAAAACTTCCTACATTCAACCGAACAGAGAGGGAACTTTAAAAAGTCAAGCGGCATGCAGAAGAATGCAAAAAGACGAAAAGCAAAACTTAACATGGCCTGGATAGACTATAAAAAGGCATTTGACTCATTGCCACACAGTTGGATTAACATTTGCCTAAAAATGTTAGGGATTAGTAAAAATATTCAGAAGCTCTTAAAGAAAAACATGGAAAAATG